TTTTCTGTTTACTGGAAGCAACAGGGAGCACTGTGTCTCTATAACAAGGAATTTGTCAATGGAAGGCTGTTCCCAAATCTTTTGCAGACCAGAGCTCTATGCTTGTCTGCTCAAGATACATACTGCCTGTTACTCTTCATAGTTTTCTCCAGAACCTGCTCTTGAACCCAGAAATGTGGGGATGAAAACTACCCAGACTTCTCAAAATAGCTGAAAATGATCATTCCTGAAAGGCATGGAACTTTCTTTCATCTACACGTGCCAGCAAGGGTTTATGGCAGGGCTCAGCGTGATCTACAGACCGGTATGATTTAACCACGGATCAATCAACCTATTAGGGGAAAAAAAGACAAGGTCAATAAGGATGGGTCTTGGTGAACCAGAGGTCATTTTACATTTTCAACCTAATGTTCTTATTTCCTTTCCATTAACATTTCATAATGAAAAAAATTCCTATATTCTTTAATTTTTAAGATAATTAAGTGAATTTAGTGCCTTTGAGAGGTAGAGGATTTATAATGGTATCAGGGAATACACTATTAATAATCTACAAGACAGGGGCCACCTGGAGTGGAGCAGTGCTGCCTCTATCACCATTTCTGCTTCTTTGGAAACAAGGTTCAAACTGTAACAAGGTTCAGCCTCCTTTGCCAATTCAGAACCAGACTTCTCTCCTGAGACCAGAAAGATTTGTGTCTTTTGGGATGGGACCTCTATCTCTTGAAAAGTGTTTTTTCACTAACATTTGATTCTGAGTTGGAACAAATTACAGCAAGCACAGATATTTCTGAGATCTTGGTATTCTCTATTTACAAACCCTCAAACACGTGATAGGAGTAAAAAATTGTTCTGGAGCTTCTCTAAGAAAAAAACAAAAAAACAAAAAAACATGGCATCTGCCTCTAAGATTGTTACAGCCTAATAAGTGAGTTCACTGGCAAATGTAAACCCACAGGGGCACAGAATAAGAGAAAGAGATTTACATGCCTGCAGCCAGGCCTGTGTACATAGAAACAAAGGGCCTACAGACTAAAGGCTGGCTTCCTTCTGAGTTCTCCAAGCTGACCATCCTAGGTATTATTTACTAAAGATAACTTCATTGATTTTTGGATAAAGATGATAGATCAACTACACCCATTTTCTTTTGTTGTCTCCCCATGCACTACTAAAACAAAAATAAAGGTTTTTTTTTTTTTTTTTTTTTTAATGCATAAATTCTCAAAGCCAAAGAAATTGGGAAGGGACTTAACAGTGACAAAATTTTGGACGCTGGAAAACAGATGGATGAATAGGAAGTAATTTAGCAAACTCAAGACAGCCAAAATAACCTAGCAATAGGAAAAGCTGAGAGGCAAGCAGATTTATACCATAGACTCCTCCCCACAAATAGCTCAGGAATTGACTAATTAAGTACCTTTGGAAGTGCAAATGAAGATGGGCTTATAAACAGGAAAACAGAGAGTCTTAAGAAGCAGTTAGAGCCCCAGATCCTTTGTTCTACTCCCCACTCCATAAAGACTAGAGGCTTGTCATCTGGAGAGACTATAATCGTGGGTCTTTGGGTTAGGGGATTGTCAGTGCAGAGCATGAGGGTGGGTGTGCAGGGTGAAAACAGGAGGACTGAATGAACAGGAGACCAATGCTGAGACTCCTCCTCCAACCTTACCCACTAGGCTTCAGCCAGAAGACTCCTCTCTGGGGATTCTGAGTAGCTAAAGAGTAAAGACACAAAGACGCTGACATTTGGTGGCTTCCCCAGGTCAGACACATTCCCCCTACAGAGAAGCCCCCAGAAGCTCCAATAGAAACTTTTAGAGCCCCACTTTTACACAGGAGTGGAAAACTAAAGATTACCAGGCCACTGAGGAAAACCTCTAATATTTCTAAAGCCTCTAATGTATTAAAATAATTTATTGAAAGTTGGCTGATGAAGAAAGAGATGAAACAATTGATTGATGAATAGAACAAAGATGTGGTATATGCATACAATGGAATATTATTCAGTTAAAAAAAAAAAAGAAAACCTGTCATATGCTTTAACATGGATAAACTTTGAGGACATTATGCTAAGTCAAATAAGCCAATGACAAAAAAGACAAATATTGCAGTAGAGTAATCAAACTCATAGAAACAGAAAGAATGGTGGTTGCCAGTAGCTGGGAGGAGGAGGAAATGAGGAGTTGTTTAATAGGTATGGAGTTACAGCCATGCAAGATGAAAAAGTTCTAGAGATCTGTTGTTTGACAATGTGCATATAGTTAACAATACTATACTGTACACAGTACAGTATTTGTACCACAATTTTAAAAAAGAGACTAAAACAAAATACAGAGAGTGAAGCAAATTCTAAGAGGAGAAGAAAATGACAAATAGAATTGTCATTCACATCCTCAGACATGTAAGAGAAAATATTGTATCTGTGAAATAAAATTAGGGTGCTATTAAAATTATATAAAAAGGAATATCCAGACGACAAAAGAAGAGTTCTTAGAATGAAAACCGTGGTATTAAAATCTCAACAGTAAGAAGAAATTTTCTAGAAAACAGAGCAAAAAGGAAAAGAAATAAAACATATGAGAAATGAAAAGCATGAAAGAAAAAGAAAATTAAAACTAAAAGAAAAGAGAAAGGAAAGAAAGAAAGAAGAAAGAAGAGAAAAGAAGAGAAGAGAAAAGAAAAGAAAAGAAAGACAAACCAGTCCAAAGATCAAGTTAAGAGAATTCCAGAAATATAAAAGAGAAGATGAAATCTTCAAAGAGCTTATTTTAAAATGTTTTTCTAGAATTAAAAGACATAATTTTCCAATTAAGAAATGGGCTTACAACCAAACACCACATGTTCTCACTCATAGGTGGGAATCGAACAATGAGAACAGTTGGTCACAGGGCGGGGAACGTCACACACCGGGGTCTGTCGTGGGGTGGGGGAAGGGGGGAGGGATAGCATTAGGAGATATACCTAATGTAAATGATGAGTTAATGAGTGCAGCAAACCAGTATGGCACATGTATGCATATGTGATAAACCTACATGTTGTGCACATGTACCCTAGAACTTAAAGTATAATAAATTTTTTTTTTTTTAAAGTAAGGTTTAAAGTGACAACAAAAAATCAAAATGCAGCGGGGGATGGAATTAAGTATTGTTTTTTTCTCTCTTTTTTTGCAATCAGAATTAAGATGTCATCTTAATAATTTATAATAGCTAAAGATAAGCCTTTAAAATAATTTACTACAGCTAAAGCTAAGCCTCATGGTAACTACAAAGCAAAAACCTGTAATAGATACACTGGGGGAAAAAAAGAAAGAAAGAAAGAAAAAGGCTTACAAAGTGCCTAGGATAATAAATGAAAATAAACTCACACCAAGGCACATTTCCATGACATTTCAGAACTCTCGAAGCAAAAAAATTCTACACAAACTGGGTAGGAGGGGGAGTTATTTTCAAAGTATAATAGCCCAGAATAGCTTCTGACTGCTCAAAAGATCAAAGAGCAATACCTTTAACATTCTAATAGAATGATTTCCAACCTAGAAATCTTACCTAGACAAACTGTTAATGAAATGTGACAGTAATACAAAAACATTTCAGACTGCACGGCCTCACAAATCTACCTCATACCTTTTCTTGGGAATCTGTTAGAGGATGTGTCTCACCAAAATGAGAGGAGAAACCAAGAAAGAGAAAGATGTGGGCTAGAGAAACAAAAGAGAGAAAGAAAGACATCCCCATAATTACTGTGAAGGAGTATCCTAGGATGAAAACTACATATCAGACATAGAAGATAGTTGGTCTAGATTCGAGAAATGCAGGAAGTTCCAGGAGTAATTTATTCGTGAAACTGATGGAATGCCCAAAGCATATGAACATTTTTAGAGGAGAATTAGACAACTGGTAGAGAGTTTCAGGGTTGAATTAATTACAAGTACATGGAAAACTAAGCTCCACCTATGGAGGAGCATAGAGTTGGGAAGGAAGGATTAATGATGTGTTTTCTGGAATGCTTAGAGCAGCCAGAGTTGGACTGAATCTCTTAGCCAAAGTAAGTAGCTCCAGGGCATAAATTACTGTCAGGGTAATTTAAACTCAGTGAATAGATAGGAATAGAAATACAGAATGGTCTCTGATGACCTGAAAATATAAAAGTGACTCCCTTACCAAGAGTGGATCCAAAGAATATGGTAAAGCCAATGAAATCACCATACAAATGATTTCCCAAGATTTTCTTTTTCTCCTTTTTAGGCTCGTTTGTAGGACAGCTGATTGACAGTTGCCTAACATGGGTGTTTTGAAAACCTTGAATATGTATGACCAGTATTATAATTATGTTGTATGTTTATATAGAATGAAGCTAAACAAGACAGCAAAATTTATCTCCTCAGTGAAATTGATCTCCTCAGTGAAACATATGCTTATGCTAAACCTCCAGATATCTCTATTTTATTAAGGCAACATATTTCCCACCAGAGATGTGCTGTCTGATCCTTTCAGTCATTATGAATATACAGAACACGTGTGTAACAAAGAACACGTGCAAGCTACAGGATATAAGGATAGAAGAAACAAGGCAAAGTGGTGTATTCCCATCTCCTTCTCCTGAATAGCATCAATTAAAATTCACAGCTGCTGGCTGCCCAGATGTTTCTTGCATTTAGTGCTCTGTAATATGCATCAGAATATATTGTATGACCACGGTTTCCGTAAACTTGACAGTGCTGTATTCTGAATTCTGCAGACTAGATCCAGTGTGTGTATTTTATCTTCAGATTAGTTTTCCTCCCGCCCCCTGCCCCCCGCCCCTCTGCCCCCACCTTCATTTGCTTGGGGCATTTGCAGTTCAGAAACAAAAGACATTTACAGCTCAGAGTTTAGCTGTATCAGGGTGTAAGTGCAGGTCAGGCCTGATTTATGTGGCACTTCTGATAAGCAGGGGAGGAGAGCAGGATGGGGGTTTAGGAAAGCTGGTGAACTTGGCTTGACTTATGTCTTTTGCTTTTGTAGGCAGCCAACATCCCTCTGGTGTCAGAACTTGCCATCGATGACATTCATTTTGATGACTTTTCTCTTGACGTTGATGCCATGATCACAGCTGCTCTCCGGATGTTCATGGAGCTGGGGATGGTACAGAAATTTAAAATTGACTATGAGGTAAGATGTCTGTCTTGGATGATCCAAGCAGTTCACCTGGGACAACGTGTTAGGCACTCTGAACCACCAGTTTCCCAAATACAAAATGGGGATGATAATCCCTGCCCTGCACACCTCATGGGATTACTGTAAGAACCAGAAGAGATGTTTGTGGAAGGCCTGTGATCATTGAGGGTTACTCAGACATAAGGCACCTTTGAGATAAGGGTCCACTGGAATCACTTGCCACTGCCTGACGCACCCTCTCCCTCCCATTTCAGACACTGTGTAGGTGGCTTTTAACAGTGAGGAAAAACTATCGGATGGTTCTGTACCACAACTGGAGACATGCCTTCAACGTGTGTCAGCTGATGTTCGCGATGTTAACCGTAAGTGTGCTTAGCAATGGTGGAAGATCATTTCTCATTCACAGGAACTAGCAGGCCTTCTCCTTTACGTTTCCATTTCTCTGAAAAATTACCATGTGATCATTTTATGTTGGAACTTACCTGCCCTTGTTATGAAAGTATATATGTGCCAGCAATTTCTGAGCTTGAAAGCTATAACATCATTGACCCCTTGAAGCCAGTGTAGCCTTGGAATGATTACTTGAGCTTCTCTTCAGTATTTTTTCTGGGTAAACTGGTTCTTTTACAAAAGAAATGCTCAGATTTTTGAAGTAATCTTTTTGTAGAGGAAATGTAGATGAGTAACAGAAGAGATCACTGGATATGACTCTTGGCTGGTGGAAAGCCAGTAGGGAGGTGTGAACATCACGCACAGGAATATGGAAATCCTGAGAGGATGCCTATTTGAGAGAATGCCCAGGGAGGCCAAGGGGAAAAGAGGGGTAGGAGTGCGCGCTCTCCAGGTTTAGGGCTTACTTGCCTTAAAATCTCCATCCCACCGGGTTTTAACCCAGTGATGGTGGCCAGTCTGTTTCACGGAGATACCTAGCACAGCTGGGCAGAGGTAAGCCTTGGAATTTAATCTGAAAGCAAATGTTTGTGGCAAAGATTGAAACAAATCCTCTATTTACTTCCTTTGGCAAGAAATAAGGCTTGTTTTGGCACAATTTCTACTACATTGTTACGCTATCAAGTAAAATGTTTTCTGGCTTAAATATGTTGGTTTCTTTGGTCTCATAGTTATATATACACACGTGTACGTACATATCTGTGGGTGTGTGTAAACAAATTGCCATACCAAAAAAGAGAACGTGAGTCTTGGATTCTTCCAACATAAAGCAAATACCTTATATTTGTGCAGCCAGACTAAAATTTAAACAGAAAATCAGAGTGCCAAATGAAATGCATTTTCCTTTCGTCCACGTGAACAAAGATGATTCTGTTCTGATTCTTCCTCACAAAAAAAAAAAAAAAAAAAAAAAAAAATCTCTGCCTCATTTTCTGCCTATTAAAATTTTACTCATCCTTTAAGGCATTGATCTAATGCCAGTTTTTCTACAAAAGTCTTCCCCTTTCTCCCAAATCATCAATAATTACTTCTTTCCCTGTCCTGTATCTAGCACAACACATCTTTCTTGCTACTGTGTATTTTAAGTTACAAATCTGTCATCCTCCTATAGAGTAAGGTGCTGAGGGAAGAGATCATTTCTTGTTCTTTCAACAACATCTACTTATTTGCTCAACCACCATTTACTGAGGGTCGCACCAGCGCCTTGCACTCTGTCATGTACTTGGTGGGTTTTCAAAAAATGTATGTTGAATTGATGAGCTGAAATGTGCATCTGGCATAAGAAGATGGGGCCAGAATGTCTTTTGTACTAGGGACTCGTGCTTTGGGTCCTCGACTGCTTCAGAAACAGGCAGATTGGCCTGGGAAAACTGGACTGGTTCCATTCTTCTGTTACATCCACCATCAGAGGAGTGAGCCAGTCAAGTGAGAAAGGAAGATGCTTTGAACCATGAGGCTTAATGGCTCAAGTGACAACCATTGCTTGGGGAAAAAAAAATCTTCATTTTATTTTTCCATAGCATACCTCAGTAAACAAGGTGTAATTTTTTTGTGTACAGAGTTCATGTGTCTGGCCCACAGAGGACAGTCAATAAAAAACTTCTTACCCCTTTATTTTGGAAAACCTATGGATTTATGCTGAATTGCCAAAATAAGTAAGCAGGAATCCTATTCAGTGAAGGGAAAAGAAATGGCTGTGACATTTTTGAGTTAGAAATGTCAAAGACAGAGACAGATTTTTATGACAAGCCTTAAAATAGTTGGAATAGGGGAAACTGGCAAGAGCACCAGGGTCACAGTGGACACTTAGGAGCAAAAGGAAATATATACCCAGTTTTCTGCAGTGGGTACTTCCATTATATGGGCAATTTTGATCCTTTCCAAGAAATTGAAGAAAATAGAATTCTTAAACTATGTCACCACAATAGGGATGCTCATATCATCAGATTATTTCCAGGGTGCAATTGTTTTTGCAAGTATGATCAGCAATCTTGAAGAGCAGCATTGTTGGAGAAGGCTTAGGTTTTGTTTTTTTGCATTCATGCTAACACAGAAAGAGGAGACTTCATTGTTAAATTTCTCTAAGGAGGCGGGGTGGAGGAGCTCACAAAACAGAAACATGACTTCAGAAAGAATACAACGTTATTTTGGTCTCTTTCACATTGTATTGAGTAGCCACATCTGGAAAATATAGTATTTTCTGCTCATTAAATTTTGTTGAACTTAACCAAGGGTTACAGTCGGTTAAAAGTGTCAACATTTGTTTTTCTCTAGCTTAAGTTATCTTCTCCAAACTTGACTTTGGTCAATCTGGTTAATCAGAAATTTTTAATTAAGAAAATAATTACAGAAGTAACAAAGACTACTCAATCAGTGTAGCTAAAAATAAATTTAACTCACTCATCAATTCTCATCTCTGGAATGTGACCTTGGCCTATGGTAAAATGATGCCCCATTTCTTTCCACCAATGGACACTCATGTTTTGGGCACTCCTGAAGATTCTGAAAGCCTTTCAATGTTTTGATCTTATCAGTGATTAAATTTCCATTCCAGGGATCTCATATTTCCTGTCAGTGGGTTGTGTTAGAACCAAAATTCTCTATTAATCTAGGGGGGAAGGAAAGAAAGAAAGAAAAGAAATTCACCATATACCAACCATTGGATACAGCCTGGTTAATGTCATAAAGCTAAGAAAGCACAGCGTGTGTGTGCTGAGGCTTCCTCTAGATGGCGCTCCAAGGCAAAGTTTCCCAGCTGGTTTTCAGAAAAGAGGGGGAAAAAACCTTACCAACCTTCCTTGAAAGTGCTTCTTTTCTTCTAGCACTGAGGTACACACCCCACCACAAAATAAATGTTTTTCCTAAAAGAGATAGCAACAAAACCAGTCTGTCGGAAAAAAGCCTCTCCCATCAGGATGGGCCTGTGTTATGACTGCCACCTTGCATACCATGCTGTTAACGTGAATCATAGTGTTCTCCGTGTGACCTTAAATCTGTGATTGTGTATTTTTCCAAGCCCATTGTCTCTGGGAATGGGGAGATGCATAGTTCTGTGTCACTGCTGAACAAATTTTGGCACCACGTACAACAGGACGAGCAAATTATAAATATATGCCCCAGCTTCCTAACCTTTAACCCTAAAATCACTTCATGGGTGGAAAATAAACCTATTGACTCAGCATTGTGTTTTGCGAAAGTATTCAGGTTCGTGTCTAGGTAACAAAGCGGTTTTGTTCCTTTAGATATTTAAAAGAAAAAAAGAACTACTCTGTAGGACAGGCAAATGATATAAAATGATGAGCATTTTGTTCACTGGGAACCTTGTTAATAACTTATTAATTTGTTCCATGCCTCTGGTCTGAAATTTCACATTTATAAATTTGAAAGCTTCAGTGTTATTCTTTGCTTTTAAAGAGATATTTAGGTAGTTAAAATTTCCCAAATACTTTGAATTCCTCCGACAAATACAGTACTAGTAACAGTTACTATTTGTGGTTAAAATGAGGAAGAAAACCTGCAGATCAGTGATCATCATATAAACTGTCTTTACTAATAGGAGTTTATAGAACAAATATTCATTCCATCATGCACATATGTAATAAATAAATTATAACTATAAATACATGATGAAAGATGATGGACATATTTCTTAAATTCACGATGTAGACTAGATATAGGAAATGACTCTGCTTTTGTTTGTGTTCTGTAAAATAAAAGGCATGTAGTGGTGCCAAGGTTGCAGAGACATTTTTTTCGGTTTTATAAATGATGTATGAGCTCTGACAGATTTTCCAAGGGGAAAAAAAAAGATTTCTTTAAGAGTCAGTATTCTTTACTATCCCATAAATGTACTCATTAGCACTTTGGGCCATGCCCTGCATCCTGTAGGATATCAATAAAGATTAATTGAATGAGTGAATTTAGTTTAGGGTAATATTATTCAAGGAACCATGCTGCTCAGTGTCCAATTAAAAAAAGCTATAAAATGATGAACAACTATCATTGCTTGAAATCTTGTTCTTTCTTCATATCACACTAAGGTTCAGCTAGGGTTCATATAGAATATTATGATCTTGCAGAATTCACTGGATATGAAAAGAGAAGAGCACATGATCACATTAAAATGTATGGTGGTGCTGGCAGCGTGGCGCTGGTGGGGAATTGCAGTTAAACACTAATAATAACCAAGTATCACAGCAAACACATTGACACCCCCTGACATTTACTGGGGGCTTCTTAAATCTTAATGTGGAGGTAGCATGTTTAAATCCATATTTGTGTTGTCAACAAGGTTATTTTCAGAGATAAGCCAAACCATTTTATTGATAATTCAAAGTAGAGAGCAGAAGGGATGTTTAGGGAGAAAATCCATCCTATTCACCAGCTTGAGGCTAATGTTCTGTCCTCTGACTGCAGTTTCCAGGAAAGTCCTTGATTTTAGAGGTAGAAAATTCCTTCTGGAAGATCTTAGAAGCACAGCTGAAACTCCTCCTTCCCTGTCCAAGAAATACAGAACCAATTGAAATTTTAAATAAAATATTTTTACTCAATAATCAGAATCCTACTATCAACAGAAATTGAATTCCTTTGTAGATTGTAACACTGGCAGTTACAAAGAGAGACATCTAGATGTTTTGTTCTGTAAATGACTAAAATAAAGTAATAAACAGTAATCATATTTGTAATCATCAAATATTTTTACATTGCATTTTCTTATCAATAAAAGTAGTAACTTGTTATATTTACTTTAAAATAAATAGCAGCATTATAGTAATAATATAATAAAATCTACATGATAGAACAACCAACTCTTTAATCTTCAGGCAGATGTAACCTACAAGATGGCAAATTTTTAATTTAGAAAAGGAGTAATTTTTAAATGTTTTTGCAGAATATCAGCACCAGACACAATAAATTAACTATGGGGCTAATCAATTTGAATACTATGTTTAAATTACATTTAAGACTCCTGTCTTTTAATCATTTAAAAAAGGTTTCTATTTTTATTCTCTCTGACTACATCTCAGAGCCCCAATTAGGCACTCTATGCTTCCAGCTGACATTCCCTTTATCCACATTTATTTTATAAAAGAAAAAAGGCAAAGCTGCACATAATTAAGAACCTGGTGTGCTAATAACCAAACATACAATTGGGCAGAAGGATAATCCAATCCATTTCCTCTCACAGGAGAGTAACCTCCATAACTCACTTTAAGCGCTGCCATTCATGAGTTATGGGTCATTCCCTTTCTAGTGAAAATAAATTCTCCCGCACCGTCAGCCAGAGCTGGGTATTTTTCTTAGGACATGTAAATTGTAAAAGTGTATGAACATAATCATGTCCGACATTACAGGGAAAGTATAACCTCTTGCTCATGGACACAGGCTTATACGTAAATGTATGTAGTTTCGAGGCTGGGTCTGCCTAGTTACAATGTAGGATTTTTGATTAAAGTAAATTTATTCTTGAGATTTTTATGATATTGGTAAACTGCTTAATCTGTCGCTTTGTGTTTTATGATGCCAGCCAAATCCTCCAGGTCAGGGAGACCCAGCAGCAGAGCCACTGTCATTTATCACAGCCTCCATTTTCCACGGTGTATGATTTCCTAGTGGCACTTTCTTGGGACTGAAACCTGGCACCTAAGGGTGTTAAGTTGGGAGCTATAAAAAGTTTTAATTTTTCATGGGTCTCATGTTTAGTTTTGGCTCAATTATGGCTAATAAAAATTGGGGTAAGCTTTGAAGAAGCCTCAAATTCTTGAAATTCACCAACCTGGGCTCTGTGGCATTTTGAGAGATCTGTCTTTCTACACAATTAATGTGCACCAAGTGATCTGCTTCATTTTCTATGGTCATAAACCATATGTTATATTATATGCAGTTCACTGGTAATTTATCAGAAATATAAATTATATTTCTAAACATGGACAAAACATGCCGTCCTTGTCCTCAAAAAAACATCGTAAAGCACAAGTATTGTTAGGGTTGAAAGCTAAGTCCTTAAGAATCTGATACTCTTTTTCTTTTGGTTCTTTTTAAAATGCATTATATGTGCTATATACATACAGCTGTGTTTATTTATTATCTTTTGATGTAGAAACCTCAACTTTCTCAAGTCTTATTATTTAGTTGAAAATTTCTTTATACTATTTGAATATCTTTTTGTACATTTTATCAAAATAAGAGAGCAGAAATATATTGAGCAAATTTTATTTGACCACATTAGGACTTCTTGAGAATGAAATAAAGAGTGTTGATGGATACCAGAGGTTTGCTTTGAAATACTCTAGCAAACAAACAAAACAAACACACGCTGCATGTGAAGAGACAGATGAAACAAGTCACAAAACCTGGATTCCTGCTGAAGTTAGTCTATGACTGCATTGGGTTCATTATATTAATAGTATTCTATTTTTTTGTATGTTTTTAACTCTCCAAAATAAAGAATTTGAAAATTATGCTAAATAGATTAAAAATTAAGCCTTAGAAGTGGTTATAAATGTAATAGAATATAATAATAAAGTTATATATAAATTAATTCAATTTTTAAATGTATGCATCAAACATCTACGCAACATATATAATTGTACCAGACTGTGTTGCCTTTCTGAGACTTACATGGACAAGTACTTGCAACCTTAGTTGAGGCTAAGGGTCAACATATTCCCAAAACATGACTAAGGTTTTATGATTTGATAGTAAGTGCCTTCAGAAGCTTCTGATTGGGAAAGAAAGTCAATTATATATAGACTGTAAGGTCTTTCCAACTCTGAGCTTGGTAAGGAAAGGATCATTTAGGCCTAAATCAATATTTGGTTAATGCCAGAGCAATATTTGGCTGCATTCATCTTGAAAAGAAAGAGAAGCAAATTCAATCAAAACTATCCCGTTCCCATGGATAATTAGACAACCTGCAACTGGCTTGTTGCATTGTGTACTCTGGTAAAGGAGACATGTGAGCGTGTTGGTCCTGGATGGTGATTCCCTATCAGCTGGAAAGGTTCTGGTCTCTGGACCTCAAAATGGGGCTGAGGTGCCCCCTTTTCTGCTCAGCAGACCCAAATATTGGTAGACAAACATTACTGTAAATGCCAAGGGAGTATGACCACTAAATCTAGATGCTGCAGTTTGCTCAGTAGGGATTTTTTCCCTTCCATTGAAGTTTGTGGTTGCATACCTGTTCTCCCCCTTATGCTTTCATCACACACTGTCTCTGATTGGCAAAGGTAAGATCCTTTTTTAAAAAGAAGGTATGCTGCGACAGCCAGTAGTATAAATACTCATAAGCACTCCTAGTAAGCGTTGAAATCTGCTTCCACTCCAAAGCTTGAGACAGTCCTCTGCTCAGTATTATTACCTTGAAGCATATGGAACAGTTTGATACCCATCAGGCTGCCCCTAGGATCTATATGTTGAGTGGTTGCCATTCCATCACAAAGCAAATAAAATAGGGTCTCAAAAAGAAGCATACTGTGCTTGCTGTCCATGCACACGGAGCCCTAACATTGCCTTAACAATTCTCTGATCACCATGATCCACCCATGACTGGTATATGTGCTGAACTAGGGGGTGATTGAAGGCACCCTTCTTATAGAACCATCAGCCTCCATTAGGAGATGTAAGTTTCACAAGCAGACTCTTCATGTTAAGGATGACTCAGCAAAGCTGGACCAGCCATCAGCATTGCAAATTGGGGCTTTTTTTTTTTTTCTTAAGATGATATGAATATCTTGTTTGTGACATTTACAATGAAACCTTCAAAGAGCACTTTTTGGCTGAAATGAATTTGATTTTAATAATGTACCAAAGACCCCAGACAGTGACCCTGCAACACTCTATGTACCAGAAATTTAAAAATACCAGAAATTAAATGCTGCTTCTATAAATACTGCCTTTCTCCCCAAGCTCATAAGGCCTTAAAATTCAAGCCATCTATAGATCAGCGAAGGCACGATGACACAGATTAGGAATATGGTGTGCAGATTCTTCTAGAGGAGGCACTTCCTTGAGAAACCATGTCTTTCAAAACCCTTGGAATTGTCTGAGCCGTACTTTTTCCTCTTCTGTCCAAAAGAGTGAGAAAGATGAAGAAGAGGAAGAAGGACTCCAAAGCCTATCATATTGTCCCTCAACCTTACCCAATTCACTGAGGGCTCTGCTGCAGTGCCTGGACATCAGAATTCATGGTGGAGCATATGGAGCCTACCATCTTCAGCTTTAGGGTGTCTGCAATAACTAGGAATTTCTAGTACATCATTAAATTCCCTCTCTCTTAGTTTGCAATCTGCTAGATCTCAGAATCAACAGGATGAACTCATCAGGAAATCCCTTATCATTCAATACCTCCGATAGTTGGGTTCAAAAAGAAAGGTGAGAACAGAATTTCTGGCATCACTTTCTCCGATTGCTGAGCCAGGACTGCACACACGGCAAGGGCGTGCAGTCCATGGTGTACCTCCTCCAGAAACCAAGCAGGAGGAGCTGGATATTTCTACCAGTTCTCTCTTCCACAAAGCACAACCAACGTTATGACAGCTTCTCTTTAGAAAAGAGTGCTCTGTGGCACTGTTCTGCTGGCTCAAGAGGTAACCAGATTCTATGTGCAGCAAGGACCAGCTGTCTTCTTCACTGCTCTGTTCCTAGTGCCAGGAAATCAGTAAATAATAAATATTTGTTCAATGAATGAATGGACACTTTTCAGAGTATCAGTATTTCATTTCAAGCTGGGACAGTTTGATGAAGCGTGGGTTAATTCTTGAAACAAAAAAGAATATACAAATACACATACACACGTGTATAAATATAGATATTCTTATAAACAAATTTTCTTTATGGAAATTTTAGACACAAAGGAAAAATTTTAAGCCAACTGTAATTCCACTACTGATAATATCTTGATGTATATCTTAACAGTATTTTTCTACACATATATTTAAACATTTTATAAAGTTGAGATATTACAAACTATTGTATCTTTCTTTTCTCTCTACACCTCATTTGTAAAGCACTGTATGTTATCAAGCACATATTGATGTGACAGAGCCATATTTAAACTAAAAATGTCCAATGGCTCTGCAATATCAACCTCTCCCTACTCAAGAATGACGTCCTTCATGAAATAAAGCACACACCAAGGGATTCTTTACAGCCCTATTGTCTAACACTGTATCATCCCAATAGGATTTAAAAGCTGTGCAACTGAACCCACACCTCGACTTAGGGGCTGTGTAGCACAGTGAGTAAGAACACAGACTCGGGAGCCAGGCTACCTGGGCTTTTATCCCACCTCTCTTACTGTATAGTCTCGTAACCTGGTGCCTCAATATCTTCATCTACAAAATGGGAAGATAAGAACAGTTACCTACCTCAGAGAGTTCTTGTAAGGATTAAATGAGCTAATGAATGTGAAGTATTTAGGAAAATGCCCGGCATATACTAAGCACCATACAAGTTAACTGTTGTTGACATTATCCCAGGCCTCTTCTCAAATATA